TGACTTAAGATTGGCTAAGAGATAGTAAGTGCTCTCTTACTAAATGCTTGTTGACTTTACGGTGGTGTTCGGTGGTGTTCGTGCCCCTTGCTTTATTTATGATGAAATGAAAAGTCAGGAGACTGGGCCATCCGAGACATTAGAGAATTCCTTCACTCCCATGCTGCTGGGTGTGTCTGTAAAATGTAAAGAATCCACATTCTCAGAAAGAGACCTCAGATGAGCAAAGCACTACTGAAGAACAACAAAGTAGGAAGTCTCATACTCCCAGATCTCGAAACCTACTACATAGCCACATTTGTCAAAACAGCCTGGTATTGGAACAACGACAGACACAAAGACCAGTGGAACAGAATTAAGAACCTAGAAATTGATCCATTGACCTATGGTCAGCTGATCTTTGACAAAGGACTGAAATCCCTTCAGTGAGGAAGAGAGAGTCTCTTCACAAATGGTGCTGACAAAACTGGATATCCATTTGCAGAGAAATGAAAGAAGATCCGTACCTCATACCATATGCAGAAACTAAGTTCAGACTTAAACGTGAAACCGAAAACTGTAAAGTTCATTAAAGAAAAAATGGCAAACTTAGGGGACCCAGATTTATGGCATAGACAGACTATCAAACATGACCCAAGATGCACACACAGCAGAAGATAAACTAAATGATTGGGACCTTCTAAAAATGAAATTCTTTTTTTTTTTTCTTCCATAAAACATTCATAGCAGTCCTTTGACATAAATACATTTTTTTCACCCAGCCTAGAATTTGCCTTTTCATTTTTCTTAACAGAATCTTTCAGAGTCTGGTTTATCAATATGTATTTTCTTTTATGCTTTGGATTCAAGTTGTTCTTAAGTCTCCAGACACTTTATCCAATGTCTCGCTCCTAAATTCTTTTTTTAAATTTTAATTGTGTAAAAATTAAATTCTTAACATGCATAAAAAGACTTCTCCAAACGAGTAAAAAGAGAAGCTACAGAATTATTCGACAGTGACATATCGGACAAAGTTATCTCTCAGATTCGCAGAAAACTCTTAACATTTCAACATTTAAAAGACAATCCAGTTAAAACAATAAATGGGGAAAAGCCATTAACAGACACTTGACCAAAGAAGAAGATACGTTCGCAATCGTTAGCTGTTAGAAAGATTGAAATCAGAACAAGATACCATCTCACCCCAGCGTTAGTGACAAAGTTCAGCAAGACAGAAAATACCAAATGCTGGCGAGGATGTGGCGAGATTAGAACTCTCATACACGGCTGGTGGGACAGTAAAATGATACAACTACTGTGGAAATCAGTGTGGCGATTCCTTAAAAAGATGGAAATAGAAATACCATTTGATCCAGCAATCCTGTTACTAGGTATATCTCCTAAAGGAGTGAAAGGCAGGGCATGAACTGGTACGTACATGCGCACCCATGTTCATCGCAGCACTATTTTCAATAGCAAAGAGATGGAAACAACCTAAGAGCCATCAACCAAGGAATGGATAAACAGGCTGTGGTACATACAGTGGGAACTATGCAACCCTAAAGAATAATGTAGAATCTGCAAAATACCACAAAATGTGGATGAACTTGGAGCATGAGGACATTATGCTGAATGAAATAAGTCAGATCACAGAAGGACAATTGTAAAAAGTCAAGGAAGAGTTTTTGCATAGAAGGAAACTTTGTTGGTTACCAGGAAGGGGAGGGAAAGAGAAATTCCTAGATAGGTTTTAAACACACACACATACATACAGAAACCAAAGATTTTTTAGTGGTTATTAGGAGTAGTAGGGAGGGAGGGGGAAAGAGGAAGTTTGTTTGCAGGATGTTGAGTTTATGCTAATGGTGGTAGAATATTTTGGAGAAGAATAGCAATAATGATGGCACAGCATGAAAAAAAGGTCATTAATGTCTCTGAGCTGTAAATGTGGAAGTTGTTACATTCGTGTATGCTGCTTGTGTGTCTTCACCACGATATAAAAGTAAAAACTTTGTTATAGTTGAATGGAGTGTAATTGACATGGATGTGCACTCACCATGCATGGCTGTCACAGGTTGCAAACGTGTGTGCAGTTCTAGTCTGAGCCTTTGTATGGCAGTATTTTTAAGTGGAAAAACCTATTGTATGGATAACTTCTTAATCTTCAGACATGAGGGCTAAGGAATAGGTGGTGTGGTAAAGCCCCACTAGAATGGTACCCCTTAGCCTCTTTTTGTAAAAAGGCAAAGTCATTAAGCTTGGGGTCTTGTGCAGTGCCTGGATTTCTTTTTAGGGCATGGCTTTTTCATTTGTTGTTGGACTCTTGCTCTCCTTTCAAGCAGGAATTAAAAAAAATTAAGAGCCAGAGAAATACTAGCAGAATGATTCTGCTCAGGGAGGGTTGCTTTTACAGAAGGTCCCAGAAAGAGGAGACCTGTGTCTTCAGTGTCATTAGTGATGTACTGGTGACATGCAGCTAATATAGCAGCTCGACTCAAAATAAACAGCAATGACTTAATTTTTCAAGTGTTTTTTCAACTAGATAAAACCTTCTGGGACCATGGGCCAGGGATCATGGTGCTGAAGCTTGGGTTTGGTTCATACTCTGGCACCTGTCAGACTGGGTGTCCTTTCTGGGAAATTGAAGGCATGATCTCCTGGGAATGGTTACAAGTTACTGAAGCCTGCTGGGAACAAAGCAGAATGAAAAAAACAACCGGGGAAACCTGCCACTTTCTTCTGTTCACCTTGCTCTTTGGTATTGGGGTTTAGTAGCCCATCACAATTCCTCGTGCTTTCCGGAACTTTGGCCATCGCCTTGTGGGTGCTCCCCCCTTTTGGTACCGAACCTGTCAGTTGGAGTATGTCTCTCAAATGACATGTCAGCGCAGGCGAGCATGGGCTGAGTGGGGCCAGTCTGGTGAACAATATGATGCTCCTACATAGCTGGTGTCATCGTGAAAATTCACCCTTTTGCTGAAAGAGAGCAAAATAGCTTGTGGTTAAGAGTCATGGACTTTGAAGTAAAATTCCAGCTCTACATTTAGTGAGCATGGGGTGTTACTCAGGACCTCAGTTTCCTCCTTTGCAAGTACCTATCTCACTTCAAACCAAAACCCCAAATGGGTTGCTGTCAAGTTGAACCCAACTCATAGCGACCCTATAGGACAGGTTAAAACTGCTACATAGGGTTTCATAGGCTGTACTCTTCACAGAAGCAAACTGCCACATCTTTATCCCCGGATATTGGCTGGTGGGTTCAAATTATTGACCTTTTGGTTAGCAATTGAGAGCTTAACCCCATTGTACCTTTGGTGCTTCTGAGGATTTACATCTAATGTGGCCATTGTTATCTCTGTTAATCAGAAAAAAATCTTGAATTTTTGTCTGTCTCATTTGAGGATTATTTTTACTTATGTCCTTTTTATTAAATCGTGTTCGTTTAAGGAATAACATTTTAAAATTGGTAGTTTGGCTACAGGTGAGGAGTCCCTCTGCTTCTCTGCCTGTTCATAGATAACTTTTGGAAGAACAGGTCAGATCTCTAGAACTCTGTGATGTATCTACTGTGGATTCAGACCATGAAGAATAAATGTGCATAGCACTTCCAGTATGACTGAAATGCACGTCAGCGTGTAATAAGTTACTGAGTGACTTGGAGAAGCCTTTTACTTCATTTTGATTAGTGATGATTCAGTTTGATTAACTTGTTAAGTGATTTTCTTTAGGAGAGAGGACAGTACAGCACTACTGATCATCATGTATATTTTCTCTTTCTCTTCTTTTCACAGAAAGCGTGGATACCCATCAGCGAAGTTTTGATATTGGAATTCAGATTGGCTATCAGCGACGCAATAAGGATGTGTTGGCTTGGGTTAAAAAACGCAGAAGAACTATACGCAGAGAAGATCTGATCAGCTTCCTGTGTGGGAAAGTTCCTCCACCACGAAACTCTAGAGCTCCCCCAAGACTGACTGTAGTGTCCCCTAACCGAGCTACTTCAACGGAAACTAGCTCCTCTGTAGAGACTGATTTGCAACCCTTCCGGGAAGCCATAGCTCTGCATGGTAAAGCCGTTTAAACATATTTCTTTGGAAAAATGGTTAAGAGGGTGCCTGTGGACCCATTCTCCCATTTAGGGTTAGGCCCAGACATACTGTCTGTTTTTGTCTATTATAGTAAACACTCAATCTAGAAAATGTTTAAATAGACTGTAAGCTGGGGAACTTCTGCGGGCGCTTTTTGGACTGTCAGCCAGCCCATCCTAAATACTGTGTTTTTAGAAAGTTAGTTCTAAAGCTTACTGGTGTTAAAATAACAATATTCTGCAACATTGGTTAGAATTTATTGCTTTGCCTTTATATATTATACAATATATTGTACATGTTTCTTTTTTCTGAGTTAAAAAGGAAGTTCTTGTATCTTAAGAATTCCTTTGTGTGTATAAGTATTTAGGAGCGCCTGATCACTGACCAGGCAGGCAGTTGTTTTATGCTAGTCCTCATTTGAGCTCCCTGTCACCCTTAGTTACTTAGTGTGCCTGGGTGAACGTTGATGGCCCAGGTAGGAGTGGATAGTTATCAGCATTACTGAATTTCCTTAAGCCTATGGTCCCCTAAGTTCTTAGTTTGGTAGTCTGGGATATCAGAGGTGCAGCCAGTAGACAGACCCACGATCATCTGCATAGGCCAGACCTGCCTTAAAAAGGCATTTCAGGTTCAAGGGAATGAGTAAAACTGGAGAAGCCTGGGCATTGAAGTCAGCAGTCTGTTGTCACTGGTTGCTGTCTAACACAGACTTAGAGCGCTAGGAGAGCTGTGTGGCTTCATTCAGCACTGATGTAGACATCGAACAACAGCACAGTTAGACATGGCTGAAACCACAAAGCCACCGTGGCACCTGAATGACTCAGCAGGAAGAAGGCACTCCCAAGATAGGCCAGGAGTTCTGTTGCTGGGGCCTAGATCTTTAGCACAAAGTAAGTAGCCTGGTCATAAAAGCAGTGGGATTCTTAACTCTCTGGCAAACTTTGCTTCTTTTCCTAAAAACCGTATCAGACGTAGGATTGGGGAAAAAAGAGGGGGCTTATTCCCCACCCCATCCCGCTAGTTTATGAGTGTATTATGACAAAAACAACCACAAGAAAACCTACAGGGTACAGATGCAGGTACTAATACGGTGAAGTCATCATACCATCAGAACTGGTAAAACTCACGCAGAAGAGGGTGCTCTGTTCCTAGTGGATTGCAGGGTTGCAGATTTGGAGGAGCAGCTCCTAGGAGTGTTTGTCATCTGCCCAGTTAGTTTTTCTGTCTCTTGGGGCTGCTCTTATGACACATCCAGTCATCTTCCTTTATCATCAGGTGGATTTACTCATTCCATACTTACTTTAAAGTATCTCTCTCTGTATTGTACGGTTGTGCTTTAGGAGATCATTTTAAGAAAGAAATAGAAAAGTCACGTTTGTCATAAAATCATTAATGACGTAGCATACATAGAAAAGGGCGTGAACTTCCCCTCTCAAACAACTACCTTAGCTGCCAGCCCAGTTACATTTTCTTAAATTGAATCTGTTCCACCTTTGATTTCTTATTTTCCTGAACTTAAGGAGTTTCAGTGGTGTAGTTTTAGGAAAGGCACTATTTACAATTTGGATTTATGTTTAAATTTTGTGAGGGTTTCAGAAGGTTTAATTATCGAGCTTTGTGTAGATAGAGATTCTTTTAGTACATTTATAAAGTGGTGCTAATCAGGTCTGTTAGATGCTCAGTGTAGTGTTACTAGGGCTCATGAACCTGATGGAAGATAGTGGTGAAATCACAGGGCCCCTTGAAAGAGCCTTCAGAAACATCATGTACTGGCTTACCTGCTTTAGTGGGTGGACAGAGCATCACTGCATTAGGGAGAACGCTAGTCTGTTGTGAGTATTTAAGGAAAGTAATTTTAATGATTTATAGTGATGGTCATTGTTAACAAAATAGTATTAATGACTATGTAACCAGGTATTAGCTTCGTGATCATTTTGCTTTGAATAGTCTGTAAATTGAAGTGAAAACTGTTAAAATGATATTTGAAAACATCTCAATTAGGGTAAATATTACACCAGAATTAAGTTTTGTACACCATTTGCTGAGCCAGATCTCTGAAGGGATAGGCAAAGCTAAGTTGAAGTTCTTAGTTGTTCACTGGAGGGGAGAGTCAGTTAATGAAATGTGGGGAGTACAAGGGGAAAGGTGGATGCAGACTTCTCTGAGTTTGTTGGCAAAGCGAAAATAGGAGAGGCAGGCCCCATTGATTTCCTTTCTTCCATAGACTCCTCACATCCTGCCTCCTCTCTTAAGAGGAGTTTTTGCCCCATAGGGTTTTGGTTTTCTTCAACAGGCTACTGACTGCCCTTCTCCACTACTGCCTCCACTAACTGCATATGCAGATCCCTGAAAACATGTTTTATTTGAAGAAAACGGCATCTACTTGAGATATTTCAGAGCATTTCATGTAAACAATGAGGCTATGACAAAATGAATAAGATATCTTTGCAGCCAGATTGACCGGGAGGGATTTAGGTAAACACTGTCAGTCAAAACTACATCAGTTAGTGGGTTATCATCCGGTTTCAGTCAGTGCTACATCACTGAGTGGTTTTTGAGGTTTAAAGACTATATATCTAGTGCCTTATTTTGCACCTTTGTCTTATTTTCTGTGTGTCCCTGGATCTACTCAGAGAAATAAAAAATAAAGAAAAAAACACATAGCACATGCTATGACTGCTGTCCAAAAATGTTTTCCTCGACTAAAATGAGAACATTAGTTGAGACCCACTGAGAATTAGTAAGATGCTTGGCACCTAGTTTTACGTAAGCAGTATTTCAGATGGACATTGTTGCAGTTCTCCGTTTGCCTTTCTGATTGTTGCTCCTCTAGTCATTCTTTCTCTTCTAGAACGCTTCCTCCTGTTGGCTGCTTACACTGCTTTAGCCTCCTTTCCTCATTCTCTCACTGATGTAAATAAACTATATTTCTCTGGATTCCAGCCCAGCCATCTGCTTCTGCATGTTTTCCTAGGGCCACCTCACTCTTAAGCATCCCCTGGGTAAACTGGTTACTTCTAGATCTGGACCTCTAGGTTAGCCCCTCCCTGTTGACTCTAAACATGTATGTCCCATTGTCCTCTGGCAGACAGCTCTGCCAGGCTGTCTGTCCCATTTGTCTCAGAGACAAGGTCCAAACTGGAGTTAAGAACCAACACATTTCCTTGTTTAGCCATTCAGCAGACAAGTACATGGCCAGTGGGATGCCGTCTATGTAGGACTACATAAATGAATAGATGGCTCTCATCTGTTGAGGGAAACACATACTTGTAAGATTTTCTGGGGCCGGAAGGCTTCAGGGAAGGCTGTCTGGAAGAGGTGAGCTTGGGTGTCGAGATGGTCTTCCTCATCCTCAGTTCTGGGCTGTCCCAATCTTCAGTCCATATTTCAGGGGACCACTAGAGGAATCTTCCTGATCTTGTCACCCTACCGATTAGCTCTAGTCTACCAGGGGAATCAGAAGTCAGTGTGGCATTGTGAGCCCTGGTGATCTGGTTGACCTTGGGTTAGGTATCCTGGCTGTGCCGCGCAAGTCCATCTCCATCCTCTTCATAGACTTCTTGCTTTGCTCCTCTTTTGCAGCTGATCAGACACCACTTGTTTGAAGCTTTCCCTCCAGTTCTTCCACCCTGAAAGCCTTTCTAGAATTGGGCATCCCTTTGCCCACCTGGTTTGTTTCCACTTTTGTCCCTTCCAGTAGACAGGCTACATCAGGGCAGAGGTCTTACCTTTCTCCTAGTTTTTTCCCAGAACTGAACAAGGAGCCTGGTGTAGATGTGGTCTGAGCTTAACGAGGGGGATTTGGAGGTGTGATGATGAGTGAGTGAATGAATACAAACAAGGCAGTGGGGACAGCTGAGGATTAACTATAAAACAAATCCCCAGATGGCTGCAGTAAGGGCAGAGTGTAACACATGGCCCATCAAGTCCCCAAGTGAGTACCACCCAGACATCGGTGTGTCCTGAGGATAATAAGCCGCCAGACCTCCTCTGATGCAGCTTCATTGTCGTCATCATGTGCGGGAAAGTTCTCATTTAACCTGTGCTGAGTTATGGCCGTTCGAACAGGCTTGTGAGTGGTACAGTAGATACAGCAGTTTTGCGTAGCTCCAGAATGCGCACACTAACCACTGCGCGTCTGTACCAGTGCTCCTGGTCAGGGTGCAGTGGGAAATGTCTGTTGGCTTATTTTCCTTATCTAAAGCTGTCAGAAAATGTCAGTTTTGTACCTCTTTCTGGGACTTTTTTCCACCAGTGAGTCTGCATGAGGAGACTTGGAGGTGATGTACCTGGCTCGCTGAAGTAGGAAGAACCTAGAATTGGGCCTTGCTGTTCCGTTGTCACCTTAGGCAATATGCATAACCTCCCAAGTCGGTCTCCTTTGAGCCTAGTGGTAAACTTACTTTATAAGGTGATGCATTAAAATGAGAACCTATTTTCTGCCTTTCACAGCACTCTGCAGGTAGGGTTTTCCTTGAGAAAAGGCCCACTCTGGTCAGTTCTAGGTGCTGCAAGTGGTTTCGTTGCCGCTTGACAGCAGAAGTAGATAGACCTAAAATCCAGGATCCTGAGGTCCAGTGGCCAAAGGATACTTGGTCCTCTCCCTTTTCAGTAAGGGGGGCCCTTTTTCATTGCAGATACACACTGGAAGGCAGGGTATTCGGAGCCTGAATTACTAACTACCCGTTCTGTTACTTGCTATGGTCTTGGGTTTGTTGCATGTTGACAAACGAGTGAAGTTGGCTTGTGTTTTCTTTCTGCTGGCTGTAGAGACAGATCTGAGAGGTTGGCTTGCTCAAGCTAGTGCCGTGTTTGCAAAGCCCTCAGTTGAAATCTGCTCTCATGCAAGTTCTGTTTGCCATCCTGGGGGTTAGGAGCAAAAGGATCTGGGAGGAGGAAGGATAGAGGCCTGGATGGGATAGGAGGCAGAATGCTAAGTTGGGCTTCCTCCTTGGGAACTTGACTCAGAGTCTGGAGCT